ATTGCTTATGAGAAGCCCTTAATGTTGTATTGTGATAATCAGGCTGCTATTAATATAACTCATAATCCGGTACAGCATGACAGAACTAAGCATATCGAAGTCGATCGACATTTTGTCAGAGAAAAGGTTTCGTCTCAAGAAGTGTGTCTCCCGAACATCACCTCTAGCATGCAGCTTGTAGATCTTCTCATCAAGGCTATTCCAAGGAAGAAGTTAAAGGCAGACCCATGCAAGTTGGGAATGACAAATATCTATTCCCAACTTGAGGGGGAGTGTAGAGAACACTGATGTGGACCCCACCGCTGTGGTCCCCACTGTGTTCGTATGGCAGCATAGCATATTTTTTGTTAGTTATGTCAGTGTTAGTTGGTAGTTATTGGTAGTTATTGGTAGTTATTTCAGTTTGTTGTTATAGCTTGTTATTTCAGCTTTATTATTAGTTTATTTGCCATGTAAGCAATAAGGGCAATTCATCCCTTTTACAATTAGTCAACATATATAAATATTAAGAGTGGATCGGCAGATCTATTTTGATCAACCCCTCTCTCTTTTCAAAATCCCTTCGTGTGCTTCTTCTTTTCTCCCTCTCTTCTTCTTCTTCTCTTCTGAAATTTCTCCTTTTTCTTTCGAATTCAAGACTGATTGTAGTCTTGATCAACTACTAACATAAAGACTATCCACCATGCTCCCACTACAAATCATCCTCCCAAAGAACAGATCCTAAAGACACAAGAATGAGGGAGAAAAGTTATGGAACAATTTAAAGAATGAATAATGCTACTAATAGACAACAAATCGATAGGCAAGTTTGGAAACATGACGTACATTAGATAGAGAAAAACCAAAGGGAAGAGATATTGTTCCTTGACCAGAAGAAAAGTCTCATTTTATCTCTACCAAAGAGGAAGGTATAAGACCAAAACAAATTAGACTTACAGTCATATGGTTTGAAGCACTAGAACCAATGATCCAAGGAGATTTCGGAACATTAGAGGTAGAGGCTTTGTTAGCTGATATAGATGCAAATGAAGTTGAGGTTTTGAATTTGTCTGGCAAAGTGACCTACCTACTATTTTGGGTGGTCGCAGGAGGAACTAAGGATGTCTTCCTTGAGATCAGAACTAGTAATGCGGTCCTGAGATGATTCTTGGGAAGCCAAGTTAGCTGAAATGTACAACTATTGGGTGGGTTTCTTGTTTTGTTCTTGTGTTGATTTCTTCACTAAGTCTTGGGCCCAGTTTGGTTTCCCAATCAAATCCTAGCAGGTCTCACGGGTGTGCCTGGATTTCTAACAGTGTGTACTTATCCTTATCATCCACCTTCTTTTGACCATCACCTTTCTTTCAACGACTAGTGCCTCCCCTTACTACCAAAGCAACAAGCTCCCCCTAGAAGCATTTACTGCAGACCTCCTGCTCTCCTCGAACCGGACCAAAGCATATACCTTTTGGACAGAAGGGAGGTCCTTGCTACCCAAAATCTGTACCCTAATGGGTTCATATACAGGGTTGAGGCCTAACAGGAAGGTAAACATATGTTGGGAAACCAACTACTTGTAGGACTTGGCATCTTTGTCAATTTCCCACCAATTCTTTCCAAACTGAGGTAAGTGCTGAAATAAGCAGATAAACTTCTCACTCCCTACTTACATGTGGAAGACTCTGCCTACAATTGATAGATCCTACATAATGCCTTTTCTCTGAATATGTCAACTTTACATGTTCATATATTCTTGGGCTGTGTCTACCCACATAAAACTCTGCTTCACTGAATGCAACATGGATGCAGAAGCCAAGGGATGATCATATGGTTCTCTTGATCCCACTTATCATGCTCAGTTGTACCCACTTTTGGTTTCCTTACTTTTCCATTGATATACCCAGCATTGCCTCTAGCAGTGATATACAATCACATTTCCTTAGACAATGCCAAATAGTTCAAGCCATCCAATGGAGTGATAATCATGGGGAAATTTATGGTATCATGATTACTACTTAATCCACTCTGGTTGGAAGTAGTTCCAGATGTTCTAGAGCCTTCACCAACCATAAGAAACAATTCCAGAAAATCTTAATAGGTCTGTTTTCTACAATTCACACAAAAAACAAGTAAACAAATACCACTGTAGAGTTGGAACCAATCCACCAACAATCCGATGCCAAAAAACACACATAAACAACTCAGATGCACTTGTACCACATGTACAGGTCATGTAGACCTCACACTAGCTGCCCTAAGCCACAAGGTTAACAGGAAACCACTGCAATACCATTTTCCTACCACAAACCAGGTCACTCATGACCTACAAGGGTACATAATCTGCTTTGATTTGGACCCCTGAATCCACAGAGACTAAACTCAAACAACTGTCCAATTGGAAAATTTTAATTTCGCAATCCAAAACAGGTAAGTCAAAATAGGAAACTGGTATCAGTTCTCTTTAATCACTTCAGAATAAGCATCCATTATAGTCCAGTGTTGATTTAAGGGGTTCTACACAGGACAGTAGGGAGAGAATGCAAACGTGAAGCATTCAGACCTGTGTGATTGCTATCTCTCCTATTCTCATTCCAGAAGAAGAGGAAAAGGCACGATCAAGAAGAAGGAACTAGTTTCCAACATCCTGCTCTATTACCAACTTATTGTAGAGGAAGAACAGTAGGAGAGAGAAGAGGAAGAGACGGGAAGAAGAGAAACATTTTGAAATAGAACCAAAATTATAGCTGGTGACACCAGTCATATTATTTATGTAGGGCAACAATTACAAAAAAGGGAAAAGACTAAAGCGCCCCTAAGGCACATAATCAAGAATTACATCAAGAGCATTAAAGTTTCTTCAAAACATGGCAAATCATCATATGTAAGATAATAATTTTTGAAATATATTAATTTGAATACTTTCAAAAATAATAATAGAGCAATTTCATATCAAATTAGCAACTAAAGAAGGCTATAATTTTATATTTTAAAAATTTAAGATAGAAAGTAAACAAGAAAAAGAACAAGGGTGGAGCCGCTGGTGCCTAGTTGCCCAGATGGGTGATTTGTTTCTATAAGTCCGGCGTTCAGGTGAGCTACCCAATCATGGATGCCTTCACCCATTCTCCAGAGAACTGAGGGACCACATAGACTCAAAAGTCAACATTACTAAACTTTTAATATCCTGCCTTCATCACTTCAGTGTAGATGGAAGGTCAGGATTTGCAGAAGAAATGTCCCATGAGAGTGCAGATATCCTCCCTACAGAAATACAATAAAAATAATCCTAATAAGTAGGATGTCAAAGCTATTGTAATAGCATATCTTGCCATAACACATTCTAGTTCTGTCGTTGACCCACTAGGATAACAGTCTCAACACCCACGAGAGTGCCAAAACTGCTTCATAAGAAATACCAGTAAGGATTCACGATATCCCCCCAAAAAGAATGCTATATCTTAACAGTTTAATGTGTTATAATTGCAATAGTTACCACAACAAGTATTTCCTATATAACTCCACAGGGATCCCCATGTGATATACTTTTAAGACTTTCTGACACTGTTTTTCAGTAAGAAACTCTTAATTTGTTCAAAGATTGAGATAAGAACCTCTGAGCTTAGTCAATTTACCTTGCTATATTAAGCACACTCATGAGAGGCAAGGACAGATAATTGGATGGAGGAAATGTTGGTAGCACCAAGTCAGAATTTGGTGCCAACAGAAGTTCAAGCCAATGACGCCCCCATATCCTTGCTACATCGACAGGCAACCAGCTGAAATAACATATGGAACTCTTTTATGCATGGAACACACTTGTGAGAGTAAAAGAAGAAAGACCATCACTAGAATTGATTTAATCTGAGACCAAGTTTGTAGTTTTGTACCCATTGCAGTTCAATGTCAACCGACTAGCACCTCTTGCAAGAAGGATCTGTAGAGAGAAGAAATTAAAAAAAAATAAAAAAATCAGTCATCCTTTGGGATTTAGAAGAAATGAATGAATGGGGGAAAAGAGTAGTGAAGTAGAAAATAGATAAGTAGTTTCTCACCTGGCAGCACTTCAGGTTTCCTCCACAAGCAGCATAATGCAAAGGAGTGCTTCCAGCTCCTACAAACAAATCAATGTGCTGAATAACTGGGAGATAGAAGCAAAACTGGACATGGTAAACAGAAGAAGCAACCGAACTTCAAACGATAAAATACCTATCAGATCCATTGACGTTCCATAGTGAAATGTCACAGAAGATACACTTGCATGAATGTCAAGCAAGAGCTGAACGCAATCAAAATGCCCATTTAGTGCAGCCATATGAAGAGCAGTTATACCGCCATCTGCAGCCTTGTTTACAAATTTGGAGAGTGCACTGTATTGGATACATATAGATGTTTAAAAGGCAACAGTTTTTTTTTGAGGCAAATTGAAGCTTAACCATGAATAGAAAATAAAGTTGGCATTTTCTAATTGCATTGATTGAGGAAAGGCTATTTTGAAATTGGAATAAAAGAATAAAAAAACACAGAAGTCATTCAGCAGTAGTTGTAATTGGTAACTTTATTTTCTTTTATTAGCCTATATATAAGCATGTACACACAAATTATTTTGGAGGAAAAGAAATGGAATAGAAACAAACCACATACGGTTGGTCGTATTTGTTCCTCAAGTTAGAACTGCTGCCTCTTTCACCATTTGTCTGAGAACTTATAACTTCATATGAAACGCTTGGGACAAAATCAGCCACTACAAGTCTTATACATCTAGCATGCCCGTTCACAGCAGCAAAATGAAGAGCCGTCCTACCACTGAGGTAGTCTGCTCTTATAACCTTGTGAATGACGAAAAAAGAGCATAAAACATAATTAATTAAACTAAGAAAACTAATCAAAATAGAATAAATAATTCTGAATAAAAGTCTCGTGTTTGTGTGTGTGTGTGTGTGAGAGAGAGAGAGAAAGAGAGAATTCACATTGCTTCTAAACAGAAGAAGAGTCTGTACAACTTCCCAGTGCCCATACCGGCAGGCCTGCATCAATGCCGTCTTTGATAGGAAAAAAAAAAAAAAAGAATCAGATTCAACACGGCTGTCCGATGATCTGTGGATTAAGAACTATTTCCAACTTTAACGTATTAAATCTAAATGCGAGACGAACTTAGAACGGTTTGAACAATTGAACCGATGTTCAAATTTTTCATTCAGTCTATGTTTAGATGGGGTCAAAACGAATCAGATGAATTAACAATTAACCAGAATAAAGGAAGGAACTCAATTTACCTGACCGCAGTAGTTCCTAGAATTGACGTCGGCACCATTCTCGAGCAGCAACGCAACAATCTAGAGAAGGATCGAATAAACGAAATAAGAACTTGGGAAAAAGAGAAGGATAGAAATGGGAGAAGGGATGAGAATGGTTGAGGGACTTGATACCTCGTTATGGCCTTTGGCGGCAGCAAAATGGAGAGGGGAATTAAGGCCGCCGAAGGTGGAGTACTTGGCGAGGCATGGATTGAACTCGAGCAGCATCTTGGCTTCCACCAAGTCCCCATCTCTTGCTGCCGATACCAATCTCTCCCCTGACGCCGAGCACCCAAACGAATTTCCCATTTCTTTATTTATTTCTGAACTGATTGCTTGTTTGGGATCTCTTCCTCGCTGATTAAGTTGTCATACAAATTGCACCTTAGCACTGACAGGAAGCTCAGACCCACTTCAAAAGCACATTCACAGGAGGGGGAAAGGAAGAAGGTAAAGGTAAAGGAGAAGCAAAAGAAGAGTAAGAGTAAAGCAAAAAGTAAAAGGGAAGAAGGAGATAAGACTTGTATCTGGAAAACTGAAAGGGGCGCCGGAGGAGTAGAGAACAGAGACGTCTGGTAGTGTTGGTTGGGGGAAATTAGGTCAACTGCTAGAGGCCCATCTCAAACAAGGAAACGCATAATAAACCACGCCACCAATAAGACAACAAGAGAAAGGAGAGGGATGGTGGTGGTAACGTGGAAGGGAATTAGCAGGGTATTTCTCCCTCTGTTCAATTCTCAGACATGAGATATATTCTACGTCTTCCCCGTATTCTGTTCTACTGTGAGCTCATCGATGCATATATTTGTACCTTGCGGCTTTCCTGTTTTAATCTCTTGAGAGGAAACGAAGGAGAAAGCAGGGGCGCGAGAGTCAGAGAGAGAGCGACAGACGCGAGGAGGGATGAAAACGGAAAGAGAGAGGCGGGAAGGAAAATGGTGAGACTGTGAGAGAAAGGAGGAAGAGTGACATAACCTTTTTCCCTCCAGCTCCAGGAACTGTTCCCACTTGCTTTCACCGGCGCCAGCCCTAGTCCTCCTCCTTCCAACTGAATGCAGAAGGCTTCAGAATCAGAATCAGAGCTACACTCCTTCCAACTCTTCCTCCCTCTTTCTTTTCTTTTCTGTCTGTTACTGAAGCTTGACTTCTACGGGATTCAGGATTCTCTCTCTCTCTGAACTCTAAATCTCAATCTCTCTCCCTCTCAAGTATATGACATTTTTGTCTGTAGTTGTTGCTGTGACTTTGTGAGGCCCCAGGCTGCCAGGCCACACGTGTTGTTCTTATTTGCTGTAACGACAAAATTGTCCGAGATTTTCAGTTCAGGTCTATGTCTGCATTTTGTTATTTTATTATTTATTTTTTTAATTATTATAATGCTTTTATTAATTTTAATTATTAGTATTAGTATTTTATCATTTATTATTTATTATTTATTATTTTTTAATATTAATTTTATTCTAAAAATAAAGATCAATATCAATTTATTAATGTTAAATATCCATTCTCACAATTAATTATGGAGGCAAAAATTGTAAAGTAATCATATTAACATTCAACATTCAGGTTTAACATAACCTGCATTCGCATTCAGATGTGAGATAACAAATTTTTAGAGATTTCTTGTTTTTCAAACATCAACACTACATACCAAAAGAATAATGATACATGGACTAACCCAATTTACCATGCGACATATACATCCAACCTTCAAAATTGGAAGCATGTTGCAGTAACTACATATGAATTGAAGTGATCCTATTGCGTCTAATTCACAGGATTAAGGCTAGACACTGCACACATTTTAGATTAGAGGTTTTATTGCCCATGATAACTAGTTAAAACAGTTACCAATAAAAGATAAGGATAAATAGGGCTTTGCCCGAGCAAAAGTGGCAAAAAACTGATCTGAATGGATAAATTATAATATGTTATTAATAATATATATTATATATTGTATTTTTTATTTGCATATAATATTATTAGACGAGACTTATTTGAAAAAGCCTGAACTTGAGCATATGGGCCTAAAACTTTGTCCAACCCAATAAGAACAGTTGGAGTCAGGCCAGGCCAGTTCAGTCTATTGGGTTACTCCACCTATGAATATGAATATGAAGATACTAGTAAGTGTGTATGGCAATTTTTTTATGATGATGATGATGATAGTAAATAATATATTTTTAAAATTTTCTACAATTTAATTTTATATTTTCATGTCTATAAAAATGATTCTTATTTTTGTTTAATATGAAAAATATGCATTATTAGATATATGCCCAAAATGTTTTTTACATTTTTTTTATATTTTTTATACTTTTTTTGTGTTTTCATCCCTTTTAATTTTTATTATTATTAAACTATGACATCAATGGTTGACACATTTAGTGTAAAAGGTTGAACTGTTGACTTGCCACCAAACAAGAAAACTCCATTTTTTAGTTGGCTTTAAATTTGTATTTTATTTCTATCATCAATAAAAACAATTGTTCTTTGTCACATTTATTTTTTGATATGGTTAATTAATATAGGATTCAATCAAATAATGGGGTTAATACCCTAACTATAAGACTTAAAGGGGGGAATTGAATGAGAAGAAACGTAATTGTTCAAATTATATTTTATGCCCTTACAATTAGAATGACAAAATTAAAAGATAGGGGCATTTTAGTCAGGAATAGGATTCAATAAATGTAAATGAGTGTTAATAACTTAAATATAAGACTTAATGATGATGATTTGAATAAAAAGAAAGTAATTGTTCAAATTACATTTTTATTATTATAATTAGAAGGAGATTAAATTATATTTTAAACAAACAAAAAGTCTCAGCTCTCATTCACACTTTTAATAATAGTATAGATATAGATCTTAGGATAAATAAATTATAGATAATGGGATAGTAACGCTTAGCCCCGCCCCCCAAGACTTTCATTTGCAACAAAAACTCACATGAACTTTCAAACTCCAACACTTTTGTCCCTATTCCATTACTCAGATTTGAATAAGATTCTCATGTGATTGTCATATAATTTTGCCCATTCTCCTGTATAAACCAAGTCCCTCAGGAGAGAATTTACAAGACTACCCATAGGCCATAACATCAATAATGCATACTGTGTACAGCTCTCAAATACCCTTCATCAAGAAACTCACCATATTTGGAATTGTGTTGCAATCTTTCCGAGCTTTACTTCCTTCGTGCAAGGTGCATAGAATCTAATTGGAATCACTTTGGCCAATGGTTTCTGGTTTAATGGTTCGATTATTCAATTTGAACAAATGGACCATTGCTATTTTAGAGAAAAAAAATGGCAAAAAATCATTGTTTGAGTCAAATGGGTTGATGGTTCGACCATCCAAATCAATGGGTTGCTGACCAAGTCAACGATTTGTGTAAAACGAACAGTTTAGGGGTGAAACAGAATCAGTAGTTTGGATGGTTCCTGACCCGAATGGTCCAACCATCTAAGTCAAGGATGTTTGAAAACTATGCTCTGAGATGAAAAGAGCCGATACCAAGCAATCAGAACTCAGAGACCATTTGGTTCGTGGGAATAGGAGTCTAGACTCGGAATCGAAATGCGCCATTCCAATTCCAATTTTTTGGTTGTGCGGAATCAGAATCCCATTCTCATTTCTAGTGGAATGGCATTCCCCCATTTGAGAGAATGACCAATCCCTACCCCTCTCTTAGGAATGAAATCCCATTGCAGCTGATTCCAATTCCTATATCAACCAAATAGGCTATGGGAATAGACTATTCCAATTTGGACGAATTTTGATTGAGATTCTGATTCCAATTCCAACCATGAATCAAATGGACCCTCTATATACAAGACAATGAACTGTGCCCCCCTTTTTTGATTAAGCTAAAGGGCATTCCTCATTTTTTTAAACTTGCCTTCTCCGTCATTCCCATGGACCTAAAAATTTAAGGTCTTTATCATGAATAAGTTCAGGGGCTACATGTCACTACCCCAAACTATATACAAAAAGATAACTATCTAACTAGCTAAAATCTCCATAGTCCTTTAGGCTGCGTTTGGAAACGATGCAAATAGAGTGTAAATCCCGGTTCAGGGTAAATTTGCGCTCTGGTTCACTTTTGCCCCTGTTTGGCAACATTACATTTTTGCATCGACAAATGACAGATCAATGCATATTTACATTGATAATAAGATGTAAAAGTACATCAATAAAAAATAAGTAAATTTGCATTCAAGTGGGCTTTTGATAAAAAAAAGTATATTTTTATTGAAATCCGTGTTTGCATCCATTACAGCTAAACGTCTGTTTTGGTAAGAAAGTGAATTTATCAGTACAAAACTAAACCAACTTTACAATTTATATGAACCATTTTACACTACATATTTGCATTGTTTCCAAACGCAGCCTTTAAGGGTGAATTTATCGGTGCAAAACTAAACCAACTTTACAATTTATATGAACCATTTTACACTACATATTTGCATTCACACTTATTTACATTGTCTCCAAAGGCAGCCTTTAAGGGTGTTTGACAATATATGATTTTATTTGTCCAACGGGAAATAATTGAATCTGATGGGGGCATGGGGCAAAATTGTTATTGAGAAATCAGATACGAAGGACAACAAATCGTGTCATATAACTTTTTTGAATGTATCGGATATTGACCTGATTGCACAAGGACTGACAGTCCAATACAATGAGACCTGTATCTGTCAGATGATTTGGATCCCATGTGGCGTTTATGCCTTTTAATCTTGAATTGCTCTTCAATCCAGACTTCCTCTTCACAAAATTGGTCTTTAAACCGACCTCACAACACTTTAACCCTGAGGTTGTGTTTAGTTGTAATGCAAATAAATTTGCACTGCTACAATGCAAATGATTTGAGTGTAAATTTTGACCTATTTTTGTTTTAAATTTTAGCTTATTTTATTTGATTGTAGTACAAATGAAAAAAATTAATACATAAAATAGAACAAAATAAAATCCAATAAAAATTTACATTTTTTTCATTTGCACTCCTATGCATTTTTACTGATGCAAAAACCAAATACAGCCTTAATTGAAAACATCTTCCTATGAATAAAAAATACTAATACAGAGCTCGTCAGATGTCAGTTGTCCCATTAAGAGCTTTTTTAGAAGTAAACAAAAGATTAAAAAGATAGGAGAATTTGAAGATATAGTAGGTCCAATTTTGTTCCCACCCAGTCCCCCACTGCGTCCCTGTGCTAATAAACAAGTTGATTCAATTCTCCGGTTCTTTGTCCTGGAAATTAGAAACAATGATTGCCCTATGACATCAAAATTTGTCTAGTGGTGTGTTTCATTTTTGAGACAGGGGAATGATTTGGGCACATTCTATCTCCAATAAAGGGACACATCACTAATCATTCCCCAAAGATTGTTTTAGATAAAACTTATGTGTATTGACTTTAATCAGTATAATGAAGAGAATTCCAATCAGTCCCTCTTTTCAACCCTTTATTGGGGTTTCTACAATGGGCCAATCCATATCGTTGCATTTTTCCGACAACCATTCAATCTAAAAGCTTTAGTTTTTATGTTAGGCCCCTGAATAGAATTTTATTCTCTAACATGCCCCCTGGCGTGAAAGTCCATCGGACTTGAAGCATGAACAAGTACAGGCAAATTCATATATTCCTTGTGCTAAAATTTAATTAATAATGGGATGATAAAGATTAAACACTAAACTATTTAGTCAAATGTGCTCTCATACTATTTCAAGGAACCATTCAACCTAAAAGTTTAGCTATTAGGTAACGTCACTTCATAGGTTTTTATTCTCCAACAGTTCCAAGATCCATTTCTTTACATACCCCTTTGGTAAGCTCTCCAATGAAGTAAATGCCACTTTTCTTTATGCATCGCCATCATCGAAGCCTTACTCCAATTATATGGGTTTGATTATATGAACCCTGCAGGCTTTGGTTGCGATTTTATAATGTTTTGCGTTTAGACTTAAGGCCGGGCCTATTTAAATTTTGGCAAAAACCAAATCTGATCGCAGCCCATGAACAGATCTAAATGTTATTAATATAAAGGCACGTGCAAATAAATAGTAAAATATAAGTTGACACTATATAATCAAATTTATTTTGACTTGCACCAAAATGAAGACAATTATCCCCTTTTATAATAATATAGATATCCATTATTAAATTATAAACCCT